AGGCTCCGAGAGCACGCGGGCGGAATCAGGCTGGGAGGAAGGATCTATTTGCTTATCAGCAACAACACTGGTAAGGAGTCTCTATTCGCGATGGTGGCATGGATAGCTGACAAGCCCATTTAGTATGATTAATTTTGTTGGTTGTAACTGGCTTTAAATAATAGTAACCTTTAAAACAATTCTCCACCCTTTGGGAGCTATTAGAGTACACGCAGGTATTTTCAGAAGGGTAAATGTGGAATTATTCAAGCTGAAGGTTCGAGTTCAGGGTAAGCATAGTGCTGCTGATGGTTCTGAAAACCTCGGAGGCCGTTCAAGTATAGTCAAACAGTATATCGGGTCATGGAAACTGTGGCTATTTGTAATATTGTGTGTATGCTCTAGGACACTAATCTTCGCCCTTTATCGTTTCTACACCAAATGTGTCACTTTTCGGTAGAGTATCAAACCAACAATGCTATACAGCAAATTCTGCAAATATCCAGCCAATAGACATAGACTATTAAAGGCTACAAATCAAGCTAGAAAAGATAGCACTTGAAATGGTATTTCATTTGCTGGAAGCACTAAAATATTGGGAGAAGTATAGATACATGGCATTGTCATTTTAAATTTGTATGGGGAAGGTACTTGGCAACCTTTCTTCAAACTTCTCGATGTTTCACCAGGGCGTATTCAATTTACAGTGCATTTAAAAGAGCATAATCTTCGAGTTGTTAGAAACTAAATCTTAGACCTTTTGTATATTCTTCCCAGATGGTACTCATACATCCAAATACACCCGAGAAAAATTCTCTGGCAGGTTTCGGATGTATTACTCTAATTTGGCCCTTTGTAGAACTCTAATGGGGTTCTCAACACGCGATCTATGAACACTATAATATCTACGGCAATTAAGTTACACTGGTTCGGTGGTGGTGGTACGGGCCTGGGGGGGGGGGGTTCTCTCTCGGCAGAGTTTAATGGTTGGTAGATAATTTTGCTGTTTACGTACCCATACCATGTTAAATCTTCCCTGGATACACTATACTTGGGTATTCTTCTATATCCGGTGGCGAGGAAATATGGAATCATGGGGAGTGGGGATATGGGTAGCGTGACGTTTCAGAAGCCGTGAAATAGTGGGGAAAGAGGCTCAGTTGGGTTGATGGTCACTCCCCAGTTACCTTATTATACGGTAGTAAATACCTTGATATAGCTGAAACTTTCCTTTATATTATTGCTAAGAGTTATCTATCTTCAACGATGGCAAACCTTATCACCTCCCACGCGGTGAGTCCATCTTTCTTCGCAGCCTCACTCCACGGCCTTACAAGCTGGCCCTTCTACAGCGCAAACCAGTGCCTCTACGATCTATGTCATAATCCACCCCTGGCCACGCGCAGACAACCATGCCTCTGCTGCTGGTGCTAGGAGAGACCCCATGGTCCTACTCCTAGAAACTCTACCTCAGGACCTCCCGATGGAACTTCCCACGATAATCCCCGCTAGGTTTACCACGGGACAGGACCTTGGAATTCCCACTAGAAAACCCATGGATTTCCACGAGGTCCTACAACTGCTGCGGTTCCAGTGATTGCAGAAGCTCAACCCCATGCTCCGGAAGAGGAGTTATCTGACACCCTGGAGATGCCAGAATCAACTGAAGTGCAAGAGGGTGCAATCACTCGTTGGTGGGACAGCTCAGGAAAGAGGTTGTTCATAGAGATAGAAGGGCTTCTAGATGCGGACAACGAGTGAGAGACAGACTCACGTCGAACTAAGTATCTATACGGAAGTTAGTGAAGGAATATAAACAAATGCTCTTGCATAACAGGCAAAGGACGGAGGCAGCACGTGTGAAAGGGGCTAAGCTACCTGTGTCACGAATATCTAATGCACTCACCTACCTGCAGACTCTCCACCTCCACCCCGCTTTCTAGTTACCTCTCCCCTCCATCCCTTGTGGGAGCCAAACCATCCACAAAGTAGGTGCGTGCGTGAAGCAGTTCGGGGGATTTTGGATGTTCGGTGGACTTTCCAAGCTGTTGACTATGGAGTTCATCCTTAGAGGCGGTGGAGTTGTGGAAATTGACGGAACATAAATGTCTGGAGGCAAGAAGAGAAGGTAGTTGTATATGTGTCATTCGTTGGGTGAGGGATGGTTTTAGGTACCATGTACTTTATACCTGCGCCGGAAGGTTGCTAACTTTGTTCCTTCAGGGAGCAAATCTGATCATGACTAGCCTCGTACCACCATGACGCTCATATTTGCACTTGCGCTACAAAGCTAAGGTAACGGAAATATTTATCGCTACGACCGTCGTCTAAGACAATTGTCAAGTAGCAATGCTAAGGTAGCCTTTGCAATGGATACTTAAGCTTGTATTGTCGATGTCACCAGACATCTCAGGTGAAGACCATGTGGAGTGATTATGCTACAAGTGGCATACTTAAGAGCAATGGGAATTTCTATGGTCGTAAAATAGAAGCACACGTGTATATATATGGATATTTCATCGTGCTTGGTTTTAACCGATATTGCTTTTAAACAGAGCAATATTGATGGTGATTGAGTTATAAGGATAGCAGCCCATGAGGTACTTTAACTCTATAGGTTCGTTCGCCATACATGTCCTTAACCGAAGGCCCGGAGGGTTTTCCTCATTAAGTACCCCTGGTTCCCAGGACTCATGGGGAATTATCATCAGCTGGAACAAGTACGAATAATTATAACTCTTGGATACCCTCGTCAGAAATTTACAAAGGAACTTGACTAGACCTCCTGGATCGACCGGCCTGGGATATCCCCATCTCATAGCTATCAAAATGTATATACCTGGAAACTACGTGCTGTCTCTCCTCACCCTCACCCCAATGATACCTCCGACCGCAAAGCCTACTACAGGCTCCACCACCCTCAACTTTTATTCAAGCAACTTGGCCGCGACGACTCCCGAGCAAAACTCATCTTCCATCTTTACTATAACTACACCACACAAACGAGGGACTAACCCAGCATCTTTGAAGGGAACCCACCACCACCACCCAAGAAGCCCTCTCCTGATTATCCCAACAGATCTACCCAGCATCGACGGTTGCTACGGCTTCTCCGCGCCTTACACGTGCCATGAGGTCTCCTGTCTGTATGCTTGCAAAGATATAAAACCTCACATTCTTCACGATACAGCCCTCTTTGAGCCTTACAGGGATATGAAGCCCAAAGAAGAAGCAAAATTCCATGACGATATAATATCCCAGGAGAAATCCGAATCCCCCACAGACACCACTCACTCCCTATGCCCACACAATACCCACCCCAAGTCGTCCTCCACCTTCCCCACCCTCGAATCCTCCCCCCAACCCCTCCCCGGAAACTTGACTTTCTGCCCTCCGGTCGAGCTCATTTTTTCCAGAGGGACGGGCGAGTCCTCCGGTCTTGGTCGAGTCGGAACAGCACTCTTTATCGAACTAATGAAGGAATTTCCAGATATGACTGCATATGGTGTATTTTACGACGCGAGTGCATATAAAGGCACGCTCATTAGTGGTGGGAAGTTAGAGGAGGGGGGTAAGGATATTGAGGGGAGAGTGAGGATGTGGGTTGAGTTGGAGAGGGAAAAGGGACAGTGTAAAGAAACGAGGATTGTGCTGGGGGGGTTTAGCTTAGGTGAATTTTATATTTTGAACTTGAAGAAGTGGAGGGAAGCTGACGGAGTGTTAGGTGCGGCAGTGTTGCAGAAAGCAAAATTGACTCCGGAGGAGCAGGAAAGGGTGGATGCAGTTGTTATTTTTGGTGAGTCCTCACTGTCCTCCTCCTCAGTTCAAAAACCCTTGTCCCTGTACAATTTGGCTTTCCTTCATGTCCTTGCTGAACTCAGCTGAATCAAGCTGGCCCACTCCCCTCCGCAAGTTCCGCTCAATGCTGGCTAACTGAGAACTTTACCCGTAGGATATCCATGGAAACTCCGCCCCCACAAGCAAGCACAGTATCCGCTTGAGGCGGCAAAGGTCTGGACAAAATGTATACCCCAAGACCCGGTATGTAATGTTGAGAGCATTTTTACCGATGGAACATTTATTGCACATAAGGGGTATGTGGAGTATGTGGAGGAATCGGTGGAGTTTATTCGGAGGAACGTGCAGAGAGTAGCAAATGGAGGGTTAAAGTCGAGAGAAGAGAACAGTGTTTAATATCTTAGTGGAGATCAACCAGACTAGCAAATGTTAAAAATGCCGACCCCAGGATAAGCGTTCAAAAGCGGGACGTTCTGCTTGCAAAGGGGGTTTTTTTTTTTTTAAATAAAGCTGGACTAGGAGGAACTCTTTAAAATTTACAGTTGGGTGTATCTCTGGGCCGAAGGGGCCTGGATGGTTCTCTGGATAGTCGGAACTAGTCTGGCGGGCACAGTCGGAACATGGTATTGGCTCTGTTGTTTTTTTGGTTATAGCGTGAAGTTGGCGAGAGTTGTGACTGTTGGGAGATTCCTCGTTTTAGGCAAAGTTTACCCCATTTGGTTGAGCATAAAGCATCGGTTAGTCTGATTACAACCCTCGGGTATTTAGGTAGTTAGTTTTGGTATGTGTTCTTTGAACAAATTTCACTACTTGAGTCTGAGTTGTTTTCATCGAGCTGCAGTGTAACTTCATGTCATCAAGACATCTGCTGTCATCCATCCATCCCGAGGCTGTTGCTGTCGGCCTTGCGCATGATAGATGGAGATCTAATAGGTATCAGCAACCCCTTACAATCCACATTACAGGATAAGTCAGATAGCTAGCGGGATATTCAGGCAACTCTATATCTGTGTTCTTGAATATCACATTCGCATCGTAACCTGGGTGTTTTTACACTCACCGGTTTTTGGTGAATGCTGATTTTGCCAAGGCTATTGTATGCGGACATACATATGCCTGTTTTATGCGTGAATGTCTATATGCTGCATATACTGCCTACTGACTTTGTTGAGCTTAATGTATACTTGTTCATATGTTAATGAAACTTCAAACAAAACGTACAAGTCTCCGTAGCTCAGTGGTAGTAGCGAGAGATTGCAGCTGCTGTGTTCGCACAACAATCATCTCTAGGTCAGGCGTTCGAACCGCCTCGGGGACTCTTTTTTTCTATTTTTTATTTTGGCCTTTTTTGATATTTTGGTGGCTTGGTAGTAAGTAAATTCTCCTTCCATTTGCGCAAAAAGTGCGTGAATATGCTGTAGTTGGTATTGTTGAGGCGCAATAGATACGTCGACCCTACTATCCGTGGATAAGCCCTACTGGTAGCACTCTCTCGTAAGCCTTGCTATACCCAAGGGGTTGGGGTTCGAAGTTGAGGATTTTGTCCTTTGGTATTTAACGCATCTGTTCCTGCCTCGGGCATATGCGCTACAAACAGCAGACTCAAAGGCGTTTAAGGTCGGGTATATATAGTCGCGCCACTGGTATAATGAGTATATACTTATCGCGAGGCCGTCTTCGATATTTAGTGACCCTTCCTATTGCTGGACCAATTCTCGGACGCCGCTCCCTAAATTGCACTCAATACCAGTCGACGCTTCCCTGATATACCCCCTTGGATATACATGTATATCTATTCCCCTTCACCGTGCAAAACGCCATGTTTTTCTTGCTGTGATACTCGCGTTGACGTCGCTTGCCCTCTCCGCATCCTGCGAGGTAGTTGTCGAGACTGAAATCGAAACCCTGGATAATTTGTTTCTACCTGGATAATCTCCCAATTCCCACACCTCCGTGTGTATGACAATCAAGTCTGTAAAGACAGTCTAACGACTCATCATCCTAGCAAATGCTTCCTCACCCTGTAGTCTTGCCCTCTCTCTCCCTTGCCTCTCTTCCTCGCTGAAAAATCTTCATACACAAACCCCCAACGCCAAAACAGTCAAACTTCAGAAATTCGCCCTTTCAAATGTCCACCAAGGTCTAAGAACAAACTAACAGTTAATATCTGATTTCAAAGGTGAGTGGAAACATACCTAGCCACACTGTCTCCCCAAATTCGTGCTGCGGAGGGGTGGAGATGGGAGTGTTTTTCTCGACTCACGACCAAACCGTCCTGGCATCGAACCACTCCAAACATCCCACATTCTGCACATTCCGCCTTGCTTCTCCCAGCTGCCACATTTTCCTTTATTCAATTCTCTGTTATGTTTGTTTTAACCTGTCAAACACCTCTTTGAGCAAAATGCTTCTCTTGCGTTCATAACTAGCGAACTTGCTTTAGCAAACAAACTTAAAGGGTCCGATTGATTTTTACAGTTGTTGTATTTTTGAGTGTGAGACCATACCTACCTATATCGTATCCTTAAATTTAAGCTGCTAGGGAATGGAGACGGGGAAGTTTGCTATGACTCAACTTTCTTGACATCGGACTATCTCACACATAACATCCGGGGCCCCCAGAACCACTGGCTCCACTTCGTGGCAAGGTCGACTCTCCGGCCTGCCCAAACTGCGACCACCCCTCGGAGGACGGCTTCCATATCACCTTCGACTGCCCCCACCACAACTTTTTTTTTTTTTTTTTAACTCAGTACTCGTATGCACAACCTTAAGGGTCGTATGACGAGCCACCCCCACCACCACCAGCAGCGCCAGGAGTTCATCGGGAACATTAGGACTTGGGAAAATTTAGACACACCTATTTGGAGAAAGGAGGAGGGAGAGGAGGAGGAGTGGGATACGGTGGAGGCGTACTTCGCCTACCTCTACCGCCCCCTCGCTGGACGTTAGAAGGATGCACTTATTTGAGATTTGCTGCTTTGCTTTGTGTTATTTGATTTTGTACGTAGCTTGCGCAGGGCGTCAGATTAACATGACTGTCCCTTGAATCCACCCGGGTTTCCGGGTGGCTCGTCATACGACCCTTAAGGTTGTGCATACTGAGTTTAGAAAAAAAAAAAAAAAAAAAAACTCACACATCACGCATCCCCAATACTTCCTTATGCTTTGCCTCCTGTTTGCCTTCATTGCACTGTCTTTTTCATTGCATTTACCCCATACACCTCAAAGAAGCCTCTCTTGCGTTCATTCATAACTAACAAACTTGAGCCAGCCAACAAATTAAAACTTATACAAACCATGCCAAACACTGTTTCTAGCGAAGCAGCTCCCACAGGCCTTGGTCCTTTCTGAACAAGTGAAAGGCTAATATTATGATTATCGTCCTCTTCACTAAGGACTATCAGTACTTTGATCCACCCCGTACCAAAGAGGATATCAGGGCACAGTGGGGTCCATGAAGTAGACGAAGACATGCAAAAATGACTCCGGCCTATCGGACCAGGTTGGCTCATTTTTTCTAGAGAGAAGCAGCCCGCTGTGGCCCATGCCCCTTGCTGAACAGAAGAAAGGTCGCCGTTATGTGAGACTGATTATAATACTATCTTCTCCACTAAGGACGAGCAATACTTACTTGCCCGTCCCGGTCCCCAAGAGGGTTTCATCGGAGCTGGTGAGGACAGTAGCGCCTGGGAAATCGACGACGACGGAGAAGAGCAAAGGTCACATTTGCAGATGAAGGGTCCTCGTCATGGCGTAAGAAACATGCGGGGTTAGTGATGTGATTCAAGGGAAAGCGAATGGAGCTTAGCCTTCTGTCACTGGTCCAAACTTCCTTCCTGACTTTGTAGTGTCGGTCTCCAGCAGGTACCGTAAGCGTTATTCATAGCAAACACTGCAAGAGTAGGTCAGTGAAAAGTTGGCTAATATCTCTTTTCAAGATCAACGCTGGCGAACTCGGAACAAAGGAGAGAAGAAAGAAGAGCACACATTTGTGAATTACTAAACTTTTCGCAAGGTGTTGCAGTGGCTGTCTAGAATTCGAACCTGGATTAAGTAAGTTTCTTCAATTTTAGAAACATTATGGAGCCGGTAGTTGAGATTTCAATTAATAGCTAACACTTCTGAAGCTCAAACTCAAACCGGCACACTCGGTTCACTGGGGCTTACCGATCCAAAGAAAAACTAGGATAGCCGTAATAGAGGGAATATGGCTCTTGCTCTTGATCGAAAAACGTACTAGTAAGTCTCTCCATCCTGTGGAAACATTCCGGGTGTAATTTTAGTAGTTAACATCTCATCTGCAGAGCGGCGCGACATTGATTCCCCATACTCTCCATACCCTCAAGCCTGAAAACCTGGCTGGGAAGTGATCCTCTCAGAATTCGTGCCCGACGGACTCAGCTTCAGAAGTGTGATATCCAAAATGCAGGCAGCAATCACTTGGATAATTCTGTTTCTCGGTTTTCCACAAGATCCCATTATGGTTTCTATCGAACAGACTACAAACCTCAGTGAGTTTTGTGCCGTCTAAGATAGCTAAATTGAAGATAGCATTGATTCTGCTGAGCTGGAGACAGTTAGAGGCTGAGAAAGCTGAGAAGGTTGAGGTGGCTGAGGCTGAGAAGCCGGAGCAGACATCCAAGTGCGCGTTCGTCAGAACTCTAAGCAGTAGGGTCTTGGCATGAGACTAATTATTGAAGGGGTACATAGAACCGGATGGCGGCTTGATTTACATAAGGATGAACTAGTTTAGCTAAGCGCCTGCACAAGATGTGGGTATGAGGCTAGCTTGGTGTATTCTGGTTGCATGACCCCTCCGTAGGAGGAGCTAGTCTGGTTGCACTACGGTACCTAGTCTGGTTGGCGTAACACCCTCCGTACAGACTTGTGTATATGATGGCCATGGAATGTGGCGGAGCTAGGGGATTTTGAAGTGGCGTGGTTTCTGGTCCCACGAGAGGTCGGTATCCGCCAGACAACTTAATAATGTATGTTTCTGGTGGGGGACAGAGTTGACTAGTCTGGCTATGGGGCAGGAGCGGCCCAGTGGTTGGACAATCCCGTCAGGCTTAACCTGAGGGGATGTGCTGCCTCGTCATAAGCGAGAAGCTTCTACAACCAGACTAAGTGCCACCAGACAAGGGAGTACCTACATCTTCCTAGTCTGGCAGTAGTCTAGTTGCACTACCCCTCGCAACCAGACTACCCCTGCCCCCTTGCCGCGGTAGCCCAGCATCATAACATAGCTGGTGATCCGGCCCTGCATCTGGAAGCGGCGTAAACAGAAAACAGCATGCTATAAGGCAAGACTGGTCCAATTAACCTGAAAGTTAGAATGAAAATTCCTTGGTAGTTTGCTGGTAGTGGGTGTGCGACAGCATTGGTATTGAAAAAATGAAGTATCCCCTTATCCCAAGATGCTTCTAAAACAATGAGCACTTACAATCCACGCCCCAACACATCTTCTTAAGTGCAAAATGCTTTCTGGTCACATGTAAATACCTACTATTAGACCTCCTGCTCAATTGGTATAGCTCGAGTGTTGAATATTTAGGTTGATATCCATGTTTTGTGAACATAAATCTGGTGTAAAATAGGGCTCGCGGATCCTCAGGCTCTTATGAACTGGTTTCAGGGACATTCAAAGCTATAGAGTCAATTATCGGTGTCTCCTGGAGTTCTTCAGTTGCATGGCAGCTTGCTGCCTATTCCCTAATTTGGTATATACTAGATGGATTTCTTTCTGTAGGCTGGCAGTCTGACAAGCTGATTATGGAATCAACTTCTAGGGGTGAAAGGACAATGTAAAAGAACTAGAGATTTGGTGTCACCTGTTAGTGCTCATAGAGTAGGAGGATCTCGTGCTAGAGTAGTCTGGTTCACGTGCCCAGAGATAGTAGACTATTAATGACTACTGTTGGTATCTCTACGAGAGGTTGTGCAACCAGACTACTGTTGGTAGCCCTCTCCCAAGTTTTCCTGTCTCACCATTCTTCCTCCCTTCTCTTCCGGTTTTCATCAAGTTCCTTTCAACTTATATTACTTATTCGTACCACATTTTACGGAATATTCAGCTCGAAGGCAAGCTCTCTAGCAGAGCAATCTATATCCTACACGCATTTCCTATCGTATATAACTCTTTACAATATCTACCAACGCCAAATCTACAGGTATGGGATAACTATTGTCTTAGCAAGAGCGCCATGGGCTGACTAAGAATCCTCAACAGATATCCATACCCTTACACCCTGAGAAGCTCTGATCTTCAAACATGTGCTGTTGCAACTGGCTCTGGCTCTGTTGGAGGTGCCCAGA